TCGGGGGCCCCCCCGTCGTGGTCCAGGGGAAGGGGGGGTGAGGGGGAGGGGGGAGGGGGAGGGGTAAACCCCTCCCGGAAGGGGAAGAAGGAGGGGTAAAAGAGGAAACATTCTAGACCACCTACGCCCAAAGGGCTGGTGGGATTTCCCTGCTCCGAAGAACTGCGTTGTCGCGAAAATGCGATCGTTCAAGGTTGAACGACCAAGGCGGTGTCAGAAGCCAGCGTGACCTCATGGCGACGTCTGGTGCGCCTTAGGATGCAACTCCTGGGAGGTTCGATTCAGCATCGGCGCAGGCACGTCTGGCTCAAACAACTGCCCTTATCCAGCCCAGTCCAGTTTAATCCAGCTGCCTGCTGCAAACCCCGCCACTGTGCCTGTGCAACAAGGCAGCAGGAAGGAGGCCGAGCGCAGAAGCGTCACAATTCCGACGAGAGGTCTGCATGGGGAAGGGTTGTGAAGTCGACCTCGTCGTCGTCCGCGCGGTAGGAAGATTGTCGAATTTACATTCCGCGGCAATTCGGCGATTGGTCTGAATTTGGGAGGGTTGTGATCTCGACCTCGCCTTCGTCCGCGCGGTAGGGAGGAGGAGGAGGAGGAGGAAGAGGAGGTGGAGGAGGAGGAGGAGGAGGTGGACCAGTATGAACCCAATACTCATCAACGATACTGGAACTATACCCTCCCTGCAAGTTCCCTCTTCATGGGCCCCTACAAGGTTACGCTTCCACTGAGGGAAGTGTCCCGTTGGGAGACAACTGCTTGAAGATCTTGCAGAGTGCCAAAACCCCATTATTAGGTGTTCAACGCCACGAGTCAAAGTGATTATTGCGTCCGACGATCCAGGATCGTGGCAGAACACCGTTCCTGGGAGTTCAACGCCGCATATGAATGTACATGGTGCGCCCTGACAATTTAGAACCGTACCACAGCACCGTTTCTGGTATGTTAACCATGAGGATCATTGAAACTCGTCTGAGTGTTTAAATCGAATGTGCGCGGCGCTAGGGCGAGAGCCACATTTTGAAAACGAACCGCCTTCAGTCTGTGAAACAAATTGTTCAAACGAGTGTGCGCGGCGCGAAGGCGAGAGCCACATTTTGAAAACTACCCGTCCTCAATCAACGAAGCTCTCGCAAGTGTTTAAAACGAATGTGCGCGGCGCTAAGGCAAGAGCAACATTTTGAAAACCACACGCCCTCCATCTGTGAAACTGTTGCCAGTCTATCAGCCTCGGGCTCATAACTTGTCAATGAATCTCAGGTGAAACGCCCAGGGGTGCGACAGGAGTTATTCAGCAGGAATGGAGAAGGAGAAGAAGAGGACGAGGAGGGGAATATTTCTTGGGACTCTAGGGGCTTCCTGGGAGCCTCCTCAGGGCTTCTTGGAGCCACTTGGGGGCCTCCTAGGGCTTCGTGGGGGTTCTTGGGCCGTCTTAGGGGACATGGCCTGTCTGACGCCTTCGGATGCCGTCTTGGGAGTCTCTTTGGGCCGTCTTAGGGAAACCCAAACAGGTGAGAATCTCGATGTTATTCTAGACCTCAGGAACATCAATGGTTGTTGCATTTTTGGGCTCTCCTGGAGGGCCTCTGGGAGCCCTCTTGAGCAGTCTTGGGGTCTTTTTGGGCCGTCTTGAGGCTGTCTTGAAAGCCTATTGGCCCGTCTTGGGGTATCTTGAGCCGTTTAGGTGTCGTCTTGGCTATCTTGGAAACCGTGTTGGAAGCAAGATTGGCCGTCTGGAGGACGAAAAGAGCGCCGGGCTGCAATTTCAGAGGGGACGATTTCCAAACCCCGCGTGCGTCGAGGGGGATGGATGGGTGGGCCCTGGAAAGCAGTCATTCAACTATTTCTTGGAGGGACCAGAGGAGCATTCTGCCAGGCCCACTCCGTGTAGGCATGGTGGAGGATTTAGGACGCTTTGAGCTTCTCCACCAGCGGGTCGGTTTGGCAGCCCGCGTCTCGCCGCGCGCTCCGCTTCGCAATTGCGCCCTCTGCGAGTCTGACTGTGCGAAGGTCCCCGCCAGTGGTCTGATTGGCTGGTTGACATGTTGTCAGTGCTATTGCGTCCATCGGTGTCTGCGTTGCTGAAGACTTGAAGACCGTCCTCTCCACTTGTTCTTTCTTCGGGGCGAACTCGTGGCTGCGCCCCTCATTCCCGATCGTCTTTCTCCGGACGGGGCACTGGCCGCCGCTTCCCCCGCGGAGGGTGGGACGTTTTGCAATAACACGTGCGTGGGCGGAGGCCCACGTCTGTGGAGCCCCAGCCGTAGCCATTCGGCTCAGGGCGCGGCTCAAGCATGCCAGGATCTTGACGAGATTCCGGCGCTGGAGCAGGAGAACGGAAGGATCATGAAAGGCACGGGCATGAACTTGTGGAGGTCCGTGCGGATTTCTTGTGTTGGCTCTGGACCCCTCTTGTCGGTGCCTCCAGCGCCGCCCCTGTCGCCCTCGGCATGCCAGGGCTGGGGGTCCAGCGCCGATTCAACTCTGGAAGTTTCTGTTTATGCCAGATGTCGCCAGGTGTCAGGGCTAGTTCCTACCCGATCCGATCCGATTTCGATGCGCCTTTACCGATTCTGGTTCTGGTCCGATTCCTCTGGCCTTTTTTAGTTTCGATTCCGATCCGGCGCGCGGATGCCGATTCCGATTTCGATCCGGCGTTCCCAATTTTCGTCGATTCCGTTTTTGATTCCGCAGGGGTCAGGAGGAGGAGGAGGAGGAGGAGGAGGAGGACACTTGTGCCGTTGGGTCTCCTTCCCAGGAAAACAGGCGGGTAGCAGCCCGTTCGTCACCCTGGTTTGCCCATAGGGGCCAGGGGGAGAGATAATTACACACTCGATGTCACGTTTGCCTCCGTTTGCGGTGGCCCGGCACGTACCCCGCGTGCGCCTGGGCGGGAGGCGGGTCCCTTTGGAGGGGCCCATTGGGAAATCCTTACCCACCCTTCCCACGGTCAGGGTTCCCCGCCCTGGCGTTGCGTGAGGGTGAGCCACTCCGAGGGAGTAATTAGCGCCCCTCGGCTGGCTGATCGGGGCGGCACGGCCTGGTGCGTCTCGTTTTCTGAGGGGCGCGGCTCGAAAAACTGTAGGTCGCCTGTGTCATTGTTTTCCTGGTTGTGGTCTGCAGGCCTCCCAGGCTTTTGTTTTGTGGCCGCAAGGTGCTTCATCAACTCGTACTGTTTCAGAGGATGTGCAGCATCTTGTGGTGGCCGCAACCATAAGAGTTGCTGTTCATTGTTGTGGTTTCGCGGGTTGATCTCCCATTCGTTGCGTTTCTCAGGGGCTGCGTTTTCTGAATTCTTCGAGGGGGCCGCGGGTACGAACGTCCTGGCGCTTGCGATCGCCGTTTGTGCGCTTCGGCGAGCTCGAGGGGTAACCACGTCGGGGGCAGTTTTTCCCAGGGACGCTTGTCTCGAGAGAGTTTGGCCATTGGCCTTCCCGCATCGAAGAGGGAGGGGGAGGAAGCAACAGAAGAGGGAGAGGAGGAGGAGGAGAAGGAGGAGGAGAAGGAGAAGGAAGAGGAGGAGGAGGAAGAAGAGGAGGAGGAGGAGGACGACGACTGGCCAACTTGGGCACAGTGCCCCCGGGATTTCCAAAGAGGCCCCCACCGCTTCAGGAGCGCCCTCCGTGGCTCGGAGTGCCCCTGCAGGGGCTCCAAAGAGGCGCGAAAAGTTGGGAGTGGCCAGGACAACTTCCAACATTAAGTCGGGCGTGTCCCTCTACAGGAGAAATATTCCAACATGGTCAAACAACAATCATGGGACGAGGTTTGACAATTTCCCAACCATCCTGTGGTGTTGGGTTCTCGTTTTGAAGAGACGGTCCCCGCATTCCTTCTCTCTCATTTCCCCTCTCCGTCCTCCCGTCACCCCCTCACTTTGGCACACACCTCTCACATTTTTCGTGGCCCAATAGGGAGCTCAACCGAAGGCCCTCGTGGTGGTGCCCGCTTGCGTCGGCCACACCGAGTACAGAGCTTCGTGGAGCCATCGGGAGTTCGACCGAAGGCCTCAGTGGTGTTGCCCGCATACGCCCGCCACACCCAGTACATTGCTTCGTGGCCCCATATGGGTACTCCACAGGAGGCCCTAATGGGGGTGCGCGCATGCGTCCGCCATACCCAGTACAGTGCTTCGTGGCCCCATAGGGAGTTCCACCGAAGGTCCCACTGGGGGTGCCCGCATGCGTCCGCCACACCCAGTACAGCGCTTCGTGGCTCCATATGGAGCTCAACCGAAGGCCCCAGTGGGGTTGCCCGCATGCGTCCGCCACACCCACTACAGTGCTTCGTGGCCCCATAGGGAACCCCACCGAAGGCCCAAGTGAGGGTGCCAGCATGCGTCCGCCACACCCAGTACAGTGCTTCGTGGCCCCATAGGGAGCTCCAGCGAAGGTCTCAGTGGGACCGCCCGCACGCGCCCCCCCCACCCAGTACAGCGCTTTGCAGCCCCATAGGGAATTCCACCGAAGACCGCAGTGGCACCGTTGCGTCGGCTCCACCCAGTACAGCCTTTCTTGGCCCCGTAGGGAGCTCCAGCGAAGGTCCCACTGGGACCGCGTGCGTGCGTTCCCCCCGCCCAGTACAGCGCTTCGTGGCCCCATATGGGGGCTCCACCAGAAGCCCCAGTGGCACCGCCCGCATGCGTCCGCCACACGCAGTACAGCGCGTCGTGGCCCCACAGGGAGCTCCACCGAAGGCCCCACTGGGACCGCCCGCATGCGTCCCCCCATTACGGCACGCCCCATCACGCCTTGCGAGGCCCACCGGAAGCGGCACCCACAACGCGTTACCCACAATTACATATGATCGGGTCTTTCGCCAGGATCATTGTTGACCTTTCTTGAATATTTGGGGCTACTTTTTGATTGTTCGTTCAAGAATATGCTGTAGGGGGACGCGTCGCCCCAACATAGTAATACTATGTGCGCGTCGCCTCCCCCAGAGGCGACGCGCGCACCGAGAAATCACGCCGCTAGGGAAACAACATACCACAATACGGGTATACTATATGTTCGGGTCGGACGCGCGCGCCTCCAAGGAGGACATATAGCACCAGTATGTCTCTGTGCGTCCCATGATGCACTTCTTCTACAGGAGGCCCTCGCAGACGACATGACTGTCTTCGCTTGGTTCGCCGGCCTGTGTTCGTGCCTGGCGCCGCCCGGCGGCGACGCCGAGCCCGAGGCCGCCGAGGCCGCAGGCGAGGGCGGTGGCTTGGCGCCGTCGGGGACGTGCGCCGAGGCCCCGGGCACCGCGGCCGCCGCGCGGGCGCAGACCCCAGCGCAGGAGGACGGCGACAGCGACGACGAGGCTCGCAGATATTTGCATGGATGTGCACATACACACACATATATACACATACGTCACTACGCTTTCTCCTCGAGCTGAGCCTACGGAGCACGTTATCGGGCTTTGGGGCCATGAGCTTCTTTATGTATCCTAAGATGGGGTTCTTGTGATTGCTCGGGCGCCTCCAACTCCTGAACTCCTTCATTTTCAAGCCCGCCCATCAAGGCCAGACGTTCTCACACTCAGACTCACTCATACTCAGATCAGTCACACTCAGACTCGCTCACACTGAGATTCACTCACACTCAGTCTGACTCACGCTCAGACTCACTCACACTCGGACCCACTCACACTCGGACTGACACTAGGATTCATTCTTATTCAAACTCTCTCAGACTTGTGACGCAATCGCACTCCCGAGCGAGGCGCTTGTTCCAGCAGCCCAAGGGGGTGGTGCAAGGAGTGGGGACACTCCAATATTCGCGCCCCAATTGTGGGGATGTCTCGGTCGGTTTGCTTGCTTTGGTCCCCCAGACTCTTTTTCGATCAGAGCAGATTGTGAGGATGCCTCGAGCGAGGCGCAGGTTTCAGCACCCCCAGGGGGTGACACCACGGGTGGGGATACTCGAATATTCGCGCCCAGATTGTGGGGGTGTCTCACGCCTTTTGCTTGTTCCCCATATCTTAAGATGTGGTTATTGTTCTTACGCAGCCGCCTCCGACTCCTCACTCACTTACTCCCACCTCTCCCTGTCTCTTATCACAATCATATCACTTAGTCTCAGACCCACTCATACTCAGATTCACTCAGACTCACTCTCAGCCCAACGCTCAACTCACACTCAGATCAGTCACGCTCAGACCCACTCGCACCTCATACCCACACACAGATCCATCGATACTCAGACTCGCCCCCACTCAGATTCACAGGTGCTCAGATTTGCCCACTCTCTGACTCGCACCCAGGGGCAAGGCCCATCGGCGCGCGCGCGGCGGCCCGGCGCGGCGGCCCAGCGCGGCGGCCCAGCGCGGCGGCCCGGCGCCCTCTCGTTCTCTCACCCTGGGATCCCGCTCCCCCCTCAGCTGCATGCGATGCCGCATCTGCGTGGCGCGTGGCGTGGAAGGCCAGGCGGAGCCTAGAAGTGACCTGTGCGCGGGGCACCGGGCGCATGCAGGAGACTCTGCCGCCGGGCGCAGTCGCTGCGCCGGCGCCCGCTCCGCCTGCCGGGCCCCGCCTTCACCGACAGGCTCCCAGACCGGCGCCCCGGCACCCGCCCGGAGGCGCCTCTGGACTCCTGGACGGCAGTCGCGTGCCGTCCCGGCGGACCGGGAGGAGGTGCTGGAGCGGGGGCTCCGATGGATTGAAATCGCGATTCAAAACGCCGCCGCGGTGGGTAAGTTGGGAAGTGCGAAGGGCTTGTCGGAGTGCCGCTGGACGAGGACATGCCGGACGCTGGAGTCGCCGCTGCTCCAGCCGGAGGGGTGCCTCCCTTCCCTGGGGCACCCGCGGCGGCGGCCGCCGCGGTGGTGCCTCCGCCGCCTGGTCGACCCGCAGATGCGGCCCAGGTATTCCGGTGCCCAGTCGAAGGCTGCGATGCTGCAGCCGGCGGCAGGCGCGCTCCTTGGAGGCGGTTCCCCAAGGGCTTCGCATGCACGTCGATGCCCACCTGCTGGGGCAGCTGCCAGGCCAGCCACCTGCCAGATGGATGGCAACGTACAGCCTTGTAGCGTGCAGGATCTGCGGACGATCGTGTAGCACCAGATGCAACAATGGCATACACAGAACATGCCTGGCGGGCGATATGTTTGCTACCCGGGAGCTCCCTCAGGCAGCCACGGAGGTATCCGAAGAGGAGTTGCTTACGCTGGAGGAGGTGATGGTGGCGCCAATCCAGACGAGAGAATATCGGTGCGGGCCTCTTCACCGTCGTTGAGCGCGAGTTCAACAAGTGTGGATCGAGGGTGCAATGCATTTTTTCGGGTGGACGCCTGGGAGGTCGAGGGCACGGCCAATGACACGCCCCAGCATGCCCAGGCCAGACGAGCTTGGACCGAGTGGCTGCTGTTCCAGCAAACGGCCACTCCCGCTCTACCCGGAGGAAAGGCGAAGGAAAACCGTAACATGAACCGGGTAGCCAACATGGCTGCGAGGTGGGCTGCATGAGAGCGCAGAGCCCGTCGCGCTCAACGACGGTCTCGGCGTGCCCCCGATGAGGAGCAGCAACACGAGGTCACGAAGCAAGAGGTCATCGCGCTGGCGCGCCGGGGCCTCCCAGGGAAGGCCGTGCGACACGCCTCGAGGGAGGGCCTTGCGCCCGACACGGCGCAGACGGAGGCCATCATGCGGTCGAAGTTCCCCCCGGCACCAGGCCACCCTGCCGCGCCGCCGGCCAACGAGATCACCGAAGAGGCGGTCGCAAAGGCCACCCGCAGCTTCTCGAAGGGCCTTGCGCCGGGTCCATCAGGGCACCGCCCCGAGTGCTACAAGCAGACTGTGGGCGAGAGCGGGGACAGGCCAGGTTGCGCGATCCTCGCCGCAGCGTGCAACCCGCTAGCAGACGGCCGGGCCCCTGGGCAGCCGAGGCCGTTTTGGGGGGGAGCCCGGGGCACGGCCCTCCGGAAGACCGCGGAGGACGGCACGGAAGATGCCCGACCGGCGTTTTCAGCAGGCGAGGCCATCCGGAGAGTTGTCGGAAAGGTTTTGCTGGCGACAGAGATAATTAGACGCTCTGCGGGTTCATCTCGAACCTCTGCAGCTGGCGGTCGGCGCGCGCCCAGGCGTCGAGGCCATGCCGCACTTGGCCCGGCAGTGGAAGCAGGACTTCGCGCGCGACCTGGATCGGGTGTTGGCCAACAGCGATTAGGCGAATGCGCACAACGAGGTGGACCGACACACGTTCCTGACCCGGATGCGCGAGGTGGCCCTGAGGCATCGTGCGATGGCTCGAAATCATCTACCCCACGGGCGCCCCCACGATGGTGTTCTACCGAGGGCGCATCATCGACAGCGAAAGCGGTGGGCAGCAAGGGTGCCCATTGATTGGCGCTTGCCACGCGATGGTGTAGAGGTTGCTATTCGAGTCTCTGGGGCTCGTGCCCGTTCCGATGAGCACAGCAGTTCAGCTGCCCGTCCTCGAGCCTCCTGCGCGTCTGGACATGACCGCTTCGCTGACGACGCCCTCGTCGCAGGCCCGTCCAATGAGGCGCTGCGGGCAATCGCTCACCTGAAGGCGGTGATGCTCGCAGTCGGCCTTCGCTTCTCGACGCGGCAAGTGGCCCTGGCCGCTGGGGCTCGGAGCGCGATCGACGCCGCCCCGTCCATGTAGCTGGTGCGCGCGGTGTTCGAGAACGGCAGTTGCGAGGTGCTGAAATCCTTTGTCGGAGAGGAAGAGCACTGCAAAGCCTTCTGCGCGCGCCAGGACAGGAAGCAGGGGGGCGCCCTATCGTTCCCGGCGGAGCTTGGAGACCCCCCGGTCACGCATTTCCTGCTGAGACAATGCGTCAACGCTGGAAGGATGACCTACCTGGCTCGCGCCACCCCGGCTGTTGCGCTGCGGGGCGCCGCCGCCCGCTACGACGAGGAGGCGGCGGGCGCGGCCGCCGCGGCGGCGGGCCAGCGTTGGACAGAGTTGCAGAGGAGGCAGTCCGCCTTCGCTACCTTCGCGGCCGGGCTTGGGATGAGGCGCATCTCGAATGAGATAGGCGCCGCGCGCGCAGCGTCGCGGGCGGCCACCCGCGACCTGTGCGAGCGCATCCGGCCTGGGCACCAGCGGGGCGACGGCGCGCCGGGCAGGCCTATGGCGGGCGCCGCGGCCAGGTTGGCAGCCACTTTGGGCCGCGACGCCCTCGGTGGCGACCCAGGCAGAGTTGGCCCAGGCTTACCTGGGAGGTGAGCTGCGGAGCCAAGCGCTCGAGGCACGGCGCGAGGAGAGCCAGCCAGCTGACGGGGTTCGATTGGGCGCGCACTCAGCGCAGGGAGCGGGGACTCGGTACGAGCTCCCCCCATCCAAGACACTTGACATGAATCTTTCCGCGGGCGAGTTCGCAGACAACGTCTCGACCTTGCTCGGTGTCGATGTGTTGGATGAGGGCAGCGCGCGCCCGCTGCGCGTGGCCCCGCTTGGCGCGAGGGGTGCGCATTGCTTGTCGTGCATGAGCGGAGGGGGCGCCGCGCTTGTGTATGATGCGATCAGGGACGTCTTCTACGACTACTCTGCTCGCGGCGGGCTGCGCCCCGCGCAGGAGGCAGCAGGGCTTCTGGATGACCCCAGGGCGCGCGAAACACGACAGGCAGCAGTCGAGCACCGCCCGGCAGACGTGCTGGCGATTCCCCACATCACCTTAGCACGGTTTCTGCCGAACGGCAGCCGCGCGGTGGGGGCGGACAAGGTATGCTTCGACTTCGCCTTGATCAACGCCCTGTGGCCGTCGCACAGGGCGGACGCGGCCATGGCGCCGGGGCTCGCGGCCGAGGCGCGCGACGAACAGAAGCGGCAGCGCAGCTGGACGGAGGAGCGATGCCGTGAGCACGGCCTCCAGTACAGGCCGGTCGCGTTCGAGGTCCAGGGCGGCATGTCGAAGGGCGAGGACGCCGCGGTCCGTGCGGTGGCGACGGCGGTGGCGAGCAGAGAGGGTCGGGAGCCGGCCACGGTGCGGCGGGAGATGCTTCATCGCATCGCCGTCACTGTGACGAGAAGGAGCGCCGCGCGCATAGCGCGCCGGAGGGCGAAGGTGAGCGGGGCTCCTGCCTCGTGGGCGTCAGCGGCCAGACTAACGTGGGCCGCGGACCACGAGTAGCCCTAGTCCTCTGCTTCTTCCTCTCCCCCCTCCTCCCCTTTTCCTGGTTCTGGTAGTTTGCCCGGCAGAGGAGTTTAGATGTGTGATTTTAGTCATGAGTTGCAGGGGGATTCGCATTAGAAGCCTGAATGCTGGCGCTGCTCTCCCGCCCGCCTGCCTTCGGGGTGGTGTCGCCGTCCCGCCTTCCGCTGTCTTGCGTCGCTCCTTTGCCTGCTTTCCCTCCTGCTCGTCCCTCGGGCTGTCGCCCGGGCTGCGCCCTCCTCCCCTCCCTCCTCATCGCGGTCGTTCCCTGTCGCTCGCTGTCCTCCCCCCCCATGCACCGGGCACGTCCTGGTCCCCAGGTGTCGTTCTTTCTTCTGCCCCGAACTGCTGTTGCTCTTCCGGGCTCTTCCGGGTCGTCCACCTCGGGGGCCGCATGGCGGGCAGGGCGCGCATGGGCAGATGTTCGACGTCCCCGGTCCATGGCGTCAGCGACGCTGGGCGGTTCGCATATTCCTCCTTCCTGTTCGTATCAGTGGCCCAAACAGCTTCGGACACACGCTGCCGCGGCACGCATTTGGCTTGTCGGGTTGACACGTTTGGTGTCGACCGTGGGGCCACGAGACACGTGCGGACGTTGGTCGACACTTGGCCCAGGCAGGGTCCGGTAGCGGGTCCCCCGCCAGGTCACCTTCTCCACGCGCACCCGCAGACCATTCATTGTATAATCCATCGTTCACACACTACGACCGCCGCAGCATAGCAGTCGTGCCATTTTGGTTTTCCAAGGAGGAGCCGCCAGCGATGGGGACAGTCCCCTGTTCGAGCACGTGTTGTGGGGATCTCTCAAGCGGTGTGTCTGTTTCTGCTCCCCCGAGCTCTAGAGCTCTCTTTTGTGAAAGGTGACCCCAGGGGGGAAGCCGCCAGGGAGGGAGGCACTCGCCCGTTCGCGCCCAGATTGCGAGAGTCGGGTCGCAGGTTGGTTTCGGCGCGTTGGAGTCGTCTCTCTTGAGAGCTCCATGGAATTTGGGCACCCCCGAGGGGTCAGCCGCCACTGGGGGGGATGTCTCCAGCAAGTCGCCTGCTTTTTGGCGCCTCGGACTCCTCTCTTCTCAGGGTCCCGTGATCACCTCGATCCAGCAGGCATGGCACGAGGGGCGATTTACTTGCCAGTTCGCGCCCAGATCGTGGGAACTCTCAAGCAAAATACTGGTTTACGGTAGGTCCGCGTCGTGCCGACCGGCGGCGACCCCGCCGTTGGCGTTCATTTTCGACCGCCGCCAGCGACCCAGAACCGGTCGATTTCGAACCGTATGGCGTTTTTGAAGCGGCCGATCGTGCCAGGTTAAACGATCCCCGCGGTGTCGGGAACCAACGCTGGGGTCGACACGACACGAACCTGCCGTAGGCACCATCGGCCCCTCCCCGTTCAGAGTCTCAGGATCATCCCGATGCTGCACGCATACAGTGGGGGCCCATGCCAAGAAACACCCTGCTTGCCTCCAGGAAGCCCTGGGTGTCTTGGGTTTCGATGGTTTGTTGACGGAAAGCGTGTCGTTCCCACGCCAAAAGTCAATGGACGTCCTGGGGTCTCAAAATTGGGTTGTTTGTGGAAGGTTTCTTGTGGATTGGCCTCCACTGTGGGCACCCTCAGCCCCTCCAGGTTCAGAGTTCCAGGATCTTCCCGATGCTGCACGCAAAGCATTTTTGGGCACTCCTGGGTGAGGAGCCGCCAGGGGGCGCTCTCATTAGCCACAGGCTAGGATCAAGATGGGCCTGACCCTCTACAGGAGGAATATTCAGAAACAGTCAGAGAATAGTTTGGGGATCATTTTTCGGCCACTTTTGTCGATGTGGTCTGTTTTGACTATTTTTGATTTTTCTTATAAAATCCGCCTGTAGGGGGACATGCCCGACCTGAGGCTAAGACCTCTCTCCCACCTCAGACTCTCACAGACGGGAGTGTCAGAAACGGACCTGCATTTTCCAATCGGTCGTTGAGAGTAGGTATTTTTGGAACCCCAGATTCCATTTTCCTGTAGGAGCCTTCCTACTTCAATGATGGAGAGGCTGCACCTCTTCCGTCCTCCTTACAGGCGCGGGCGGACACCCAATCTACGTGCAACGCCCTCCTCCGTCGTGTTCCTACCTGCTTACTCCGACCGATGAGCAGGACTCCTCCCGCTCATACGCTCCCTCCTCTAAGGGGGCGCACGGGGGCGCCTGCCGCGGCGCCGCTGGCTGGCTGGCGCTCTCGGGCCTGGCGCTCCTGGCGATCGGCGGGCCCGCGGCGGCCCACCTGGCCACCGCGCGCCCGTGCTGGAGCGCTGGCAACATCTCCGGCCGCGAGGAGTGGGCCACCTTCTGGCCGGGCTACGCGGTGCTCGCGCCCGCGTCCCTGGCCACCGCCGCCTGGACCGTCGCCGTGCGCCGGCGCGCCCGCCCCGTGCCGCTGCACCAGTGGACGCTGCGCTTCGGGGCGTGCGCCGCGGTGCTCTGAGCCTCCTAGATCTTGGCATCGCTCGGACGTGTGCATTTTTCCTTCGGCGAGGACCACCGAGGAGCATCCTTGATCAGTCGGCGAAAAAACCACGCACGAAACCAAAAAAAACATAGGGCATGGACGTCCGAGCGATGCCCAGAGATGGGGTCCGGGCAGATGGGGTCGGAGGATCGCGCCGAGTCGCCGATGCATCGCCGATGCGGTTCGATGCAGGGCCCGGGTTGCTTCACGTCGACGTCGCCGATGCATCGCCGACGTCGACGATGCATCGCCGGCGCGTGATCAATGCATCGCCGATGCATCGCCGATGCATCGCCGATGTATCGGCGATGTGTCGGCGATGCGGTGCGATTCTCCGACCCCATCTATTCGGACCCCATCTGGGAGGCCGCCAGGTCCACGGGGCCGCCTATGTCGGCATCCCGCTGCTGGACGCTGGGTGCCACGGCGGCGCGGCGGGCACGGCGTGGCAAGTCGCGTGCTTGATGGTAGCCTCGGCGGCATACTCTGGGACCGTGGTTGTCCCGTACCACGTCCTGGCGCTGAAGCTGGGCGCGCTGGGCGCAGGCCGCCTGGCGTGGGTTTCCCGCGCCGCTGCCGGGGCAGCTGCAGCGGCTGGCGTCGCGGTCGTCATGTCCTGGTCCGCGCTCGCGGCCCTCGGTCACCCAGGCGTGGACGAAGGGCCGGTGCCGCTGGCGCTCAATGGGGTGCTCGTCGCGACCCTTCTGGTGGGCTTGCTCGGGATCACGGTGGTGGCGTACAGCGGGGTGCGGGGCCTGCTGCTCGCCGCGCGCTCCGCGCGCGGGGGGCCCGCGGAGGCGGCGCGCGCTGCGCGCTGGGTGCGCTGGACGGCGGCGCTGGTCGCGGCGTCCCTTCTGTTGTCGTGCGTGGAGGCGGTATTCGTTTCTGCCCGCGGCTTCACCAGCTACATCGGCGACTGGTCGCACGCCCGGACCTGGGCCACCGCCATCAACAACGTGTCCAACTGCCTGCAGGTGGCACTCCTCTCGGGCCTCGCTGGGACAGGGTCGTTGCGACGAGTGGTGCTAGATGCGTTCGAGAGCATCAATACGTACACCGCGGAGGAGCTCCAGGATCGCTACGAGCAGTTTCTCCTTTACCTTGACGACGCTCAGGTAAAATGGATCCGATGCGGATTTCTACGACAAATCGCCGCAAGAGGTTGCACCATGGTTCGTTGCCAGGAGGTACCCCCCACCGAGGCGGTCATTGGCCAGATTGGCTTCCCGATGGAACGAGACGCGCCGAAGCATAGGTTTGTGGTCTCTCACCCGTGGCTGTCGGAGAAGCACCCGGACCTCGCGGGGGTGACGTTGAGGCGGCTCGTGGAACAGCTCGACATATCGGGGGCCGACGACGGCGATGCAGTGTTCATCGATTTCATGAGCCTGCCTCAGCACGACATGCAGAACTTGGAGCTGCAGCAGTTGGAACGCGATATGAGGTGGCCAAATCCCGGGGAGCACGCTGCTGTCCGCACCGAGGCGGAAGAAGATCTGTTCAAGACGGCTCTCTCGGGAATGGAGCTGCTCTTCAGCGTCAGCAACGTGCTTGTGCTCGTGCTACCCATGGACGATTACGTCGAACGGGGCAAGGAGTACATCACCAGGAGTTGGTGTTTCCTCGAGCTTTGCCTCGCCGTCAGCTTCCACAACATTGCGAACGCAGCAATACACGAGCAAGCAAGAAAGGCGGTCCTCCGCGTCAAATATCTGCGCGGCCACACCGTGGAGGGCTTTCGCGCGGGGCTGAAGCGGACGCGGTTTACCAAAAAGGGTGACGGCGGCGTCGTCCTTGAGCTCTTCGAGAGAACGGTGAGCAAGCGCGTTCGCCGCGCAACCCGAGCCCCATCGCCCAACCGCTTGCTCTTTCTCGGCTCGCTATGATTAGGCGCACTCCGCCGTCCCCGCAGCCCTCTGCGCATCTACAGTTCGGAAAGGCGCAGCGTGAGGAAGACGACAGCGGGGGCCTGGCCACGCTCACAGGTGCAAGGTGCGGTGGCGAACGTCTCTCTTTATCTCCATTTCTCCGTCTGTCTGCCCCCATCCCTCCAAGCCTCCAGGCCATCTGCTCCACTGCCAGATTGCGACGATTGTGATGGTGACGATGCTTGCGATGCGCCCGCGAGCTGTTGACGATGCGTGATGGCGATGCTGGTGACGATGCATGATTTCAGTATCGTTTGACCGACCCCCATCACCATCCTCATCCCCTTCGAGACCCCCACCAAATTACCACCCCAGTTGAGGTTACACCCCTCGAAACCCGAAGGGAACGGCCTATATCCTCATCTAGGGGGCTAAATCGGCCAGTGGGGCCCAGGCTACGCCGCTGGGGATGGGGATCGATTAAACGATGCTCATGATTGCGATTGTGTTGGTGCCGATGCATGGCGACGATGCTGGTGATGAGCGGGGCATCGCAAGCAGGCAGCACGCAGCAGCAGCAGCAGCAGCAGTGCATCATGCAACCTCGGCTGGCAGAGGGACACCCTCGGGACACCATTTGGACAACATCGGGACACCATGTGGACACCATCGGGGCAACATCGGGACACCATCGGCACGCCATCAGGGCACCACCAGAATCATCGGAACACCATCGGGACACCATCGGGACACCATCGGGACACCATCGGGACACCATCGGGACACTCGGGACACCATCGGGGGACAATGGGGGCACCATCGGGACACCATCGGGACTCCATCGGGACACCCCCGAGCCACCGCCGGCCAACCAGGGGGGGAGCAACAAGCGGCCCAGTTTCGCCTGAGCTGCTGCGAGTTGATTCCGCTCGCCCGCCCACGCAGCTTCGCCTCGTCCAGTCGCACGACACGGAGCCGAAACCGAGTTCCCGGTGGGGGGTCTCCGTTTCACGTCGATCTCACCCCCAATTTCAGGTCCACTTCTTCGGAGTCGAGCCCAGGAATCTCCAGGAGTGGCGCATATGGGTGTCTGCGCACCCCTGCGGACTGGAAGTTGTGCGTATCAAGCGTGCTTCTGGGATCCAAAATACGATTCCCGAAGTTGTAGGCCAATCTTGATTTCTCTTGGCGGTGCATCCTGAGACAGAGACGAAATCATACAGGTGGACAAACGGACGGACGGACGACGGACGAAAGATTATGAGGGACAAGAAGGGACAGAGTCAGAGCGAGTTGCAGGGTGATGCAGGGGCGACGGACGAACGAACGAACGAACAAGACACAGCGAAGGTTCCTGTATTTGAGCTTGGAAAGTGTTGTTAGTGCCATTCCGTCCCTCGTCATATACGCTTTGTGGAAGACCGTCCTCTCTATGTTTTTGTTTTGGGGCGGAGTCCTCAGCCCCAAGCCGCACTCTGGAGCTCTTTGACGTTTCTAAGACAGCAAGCTTGCCCCAAGACGTGACCAAAGCTGCTCCTGCTTCTTCGAGACGGGCTACTGGAACATATTCGACCAGTCGTCTGGATCGCCATTGAGAGTTCAGAATCTCATGTCCTCCAATAGGTCGTTCACGCACCACTGGCATGGCAAGTGGGATTTCGAGGTGCAGGAGGGATCCTTCGCCGACCAGTACTCAAGCTGGTTGCGGTCCAAGGGCTTTCTGAGGCAATAGTGCCCACGGCTCGCGCTGGGAGCGGACATCAGCACACAACGCGGTGTTGTGTGTACCTCTCTGGTAGCGCCCAATCGATGTAAATCTAGAATTCAGTTTTTCGGCCACCTGTTCGTCAATGTGCTCAACAACGTTGTGTTTGAAATTGTTTTGTCCACGGGCTGCTCTGGCACGTCTCCCATGAGTTTGTCCAGCAGACAGTCTCCCACTGCGTGTGCATCCAGCTTGTAACCAGTCAGGGTAAGCTGGCACTCCGACCACCTGAACTCGACCAAGCGCAGCGAACAAAAAAAAAGACGTGACCAAAGCTGCTCCAGCACCCCCCATGAGTTTTGATGAATATCGAAGACGCCTACGGCGAACCACCGCCGCCCCCTGCCTTTTTGGAAGCGCCTATGTGGCCGAACGTTGAGGCCAGACCTGCCAAGCCATCGGACCATGTGTTCCCCGAATCGGTTTGCCGATTGCGACATTACTAAATTACGAGGCTTTTTTTTCGCTGACACGCGTGAGGGTGAGGGCGCAGGAAAAGGGGCGACGGAAACGACGCGTGAGCGCGCGCCGACAAGGGGGCCCACGCGCCGACAGGGTCGGCGGGTTCCATTTCTAGGACAGAGCGACGTCTTCAGCACAGCCCAGCCAATTACACCCCAGAATTCTTGACCATCTCAACCCAGCATACCTCGCGCGCCCAGCGCTGACTGTCAGCAGGAATTGGGCTACCAGAGAGAAGGTGGCAGAAGAGAACCAAGGAGCGAGGATATAGACGAATAGTCATATCAGGAGGAAGCAGGAGAGACGAGCGAGGAACAATACGGGAGGACAGCCGAGGAAAGAAGTTGGATGTGGTGAGCAGTAGGGGAGAGATTTGCCGGAAGTAAGCATCGGGACATGGACCCAACGTTTCGTGGCAGCGCCTTGGCTTGCGCTGGAACCTAAGCGCCCGCGGCTATGGTCACTCACGCCTTGAAGTTGGCAAGGCCGCCACCCCCGCGATCTCCCAGAGGTGGGGCACACTGGGACGTTGGCGGTGTACACAAAGTCTGCGATGTACGCAAGCATCGTGGTGTACATAGTTGCCACACGATGTGGTGCACACAATGCTTTGGTGTGTGTGTGTGCAAACATTGTGTTGTACGTAGTCACTGTTGTCGCGGGCCTTTGGTGTACACAAGCATCACCGTGACTACAATATGTATGCATTGTGGTGTGCGCAGGCGTCGTGGTGCACATGCAGTCGCATCATTATTTTATGATGGACGCCTGCATGTTACTGTACACGCACTGCGTGGCGCGCGCCAGCGTTATGCTTTCTGTTGTCGGGGCAAGCTCCCTACGCTGCGCCAGCCTGTTCTTATCATGTTCTTACCTGCGCGCTGATACATGCTGTCCGTACATATCCCGAGGCATTGCCCGACGGCTTTGGCGTCGTCCAATATCAGTATCAGCCTCGTCGCAACATCATTAGCAGCAGTCGCAGCCGCAGCATTGCTTTAATCAGAAAAAATGGAGCAGGCGACAGGGCATGGATGCATTCTGTTATGTGCCAGCGAACCCATCCGCCCACATAACGCGCGCTATGCGGAAACAATATCGTTGAGCTCCTCCTGTTTTTTTTGTTATCCTCCTCGTTTCCCTTCTTTTCCTGCCCTTTTCCTCCCTCTTTGTTGTCCTTCCTCACGTTTCTCGAGCTGCCCGAGGTGTCGTATCCACTGTTGCTGGTTCGTCCGATGGCCTCTGTCTTCCCGCGCCTGCTGATCGCCCGGGGTTCTGTGATGAGCCAGACGCCCGCCGCGCAGTCCGACGATGCATCGTCGGACATGATTGTTTGTTGCTCCAGGGAGGCTGCTCACAGTGCGCGGCCTCCATCTCAGGCCAAATCATTCGCCTCCTCGGTCCCGCCCTACGGTTCGCAGAGGAAACCTTTTCCTCGAAGGGAAACGGTTGCACGCGCTACCCGCGGGACCTTCCTGGTTGCGAATACCCATTGGGGTTATAGGTCGCTGGCGCTGGCAGGAGGGAGGAGCGCCGCGTATACGCGGGAACCAGCCCAATGGGTCACAATCCAATGGGTCCGTCCACCCAGATAATGATGTTGATGATGATGGCAATGATGGCGATGACCATGGTGATGGTGATGGTGATGATGATAATGATGCTGATGATGATGATGATGATGATGATGATGATGATGATTATGATGATGATAATGATGATGATGATAATGATGATGATGATGATGATGATGATGATGATGATGATGATTATGATGATGATGATAATGATGATGATGATGATGATGATGATGATGATGATGATGATGATGATGATGACGGTGCTGATGGTGGCGATGATGTTGATGATGATGAAGATCATGATGATGATGATGATGATCATCATCATCATCATCACCATCATCATCATCATCATCATCATCATCATCATCATCATCATCATGATTATCATCATCAACCACAGTCCCCCTCTCCACCCTGCGGCCCCTCCCGCCCGCGCCGCGCCGCGCGCCGGCCCGAGGCGTGGTCGGCGTTCGCAACGTGAAGTGGGTGGGCCGCGTCCGCTTGTCGCAGGAGCCGCGCGGCGGCGTTTTGCGGCGGGCGTCGTTGCCGCAAGGCGCCGTCGTCGTCGTCGTCGTCGTCGTCGTCGTCGTCGTCGTCGTCGTCGTCGTCGTCGTCCGCGTCGTCGACATCGACGTCGTCGTCGTCGACGACGACGACGACGACGACGACCGCGACATCCCCCCCCCGGGGAGCGACCGCTCGTGCAGAGCGGCCGCTCACCCGGACCATGAGATGTTGGCGTCTTAGTTCTGTCGGACCAGGCGTTTGTTTACGCAGAAAGGTGGGGTCCAGGGCTCTTGACGCGATTTGTCATGATGCTGTAGTTTTTGTCCCCCCCCCGCGTGCCGCCAGCTTTCTGTTACCATTTGTGTCCCACCTCCGCCCCTCCGCCCCTGCGCCCGCTTTCCCTGCTCGTCCTCGTCCTTCTCCCCCTTCCTCCCTGGATGTGGTGACGTTTACCCGGCCGGCCCATTTACAGCCCTGCCGCGAGCGAGTCATGTGTTGGTGCGGTTATAGCCCCCTTGAGGGGAAGCGGATTTGACGCTCAATCGAAATTGTCTGGCCCTTGAACGGGCATCGGGTGCTGGATTCGCTGGGGAGAGAAAAAAAAATCGCGCCGTCGGATCCCAGGGTCGCCCGCAACGCCCTCTCGCCCGGAGGCCCGTCCGCCTGCAGGCCAGCTTTGGGATGGGAAGTCCCTATCACCAGCCTGAAGCATCTCCCCATCCGTGGGATTGGCATCACCTCGTCTCGACGCCCTCAGGGTTCCCTCCGTTGCCCAGGGCGCATCCCCAAGATGGTTGTCTCCTCCGGGTTTGCCGTTCTTAGCGATAGGGATAAAGATCGAGGCTGGGCACCCTACACTGGAGGCCCATGCCAAGAAAAATCCTGGTTGCCTCCAGGGTGCCCTGGTCTTCTTGGGTTTCGATGGTGTTGCTTGGGAGAGTGTGTCGCTCCCGCACCAAAAATCCATGGACGCCCCGTGGTCTCAGGGTTGGGTCTCTTGTGGAAGGTGTCCTGTGGTCGGGCCCCCACAGTGCCGTTTTTAATACATGCTCCGCGTGCGGATCATGTATTACAAATGCAGGGGCTTAGCATTAAAAACGACGATGAGTTCATGCGTAAATTCATTCCTAAATTAGTCATGTCTGAAAAATCCCAGATTTTGAAAATCCCGTGCATTAAAAACTGCCCTGTGCTGTGCCACGGGCGGTGCGGGCGGGTGGGGCACCGAC